AGATGTGATCCTTTTGTAGAAACTGCAGTCATAGCTGAGGTATGAAATGAGTACATTATATTTCCCTTTACTAGAGTTTCGTTTAGCAGAAGACCCAGGCTTACTTTATTTGGCAAAATTTTCACAACAGAAGTTGTGATCTAGAATATATGACTTGAAATGTTGTTGAAAACCAGTTTAATGTAACTTTCAAAAGAGAATTGAGGAGGGCAGAAAACTGCAAGGTGATGAAGCGTGATGCATAGTTCCACTAAAGGGCCACACTGGGGCAAATGATTCTTTCTGTGCTGTGTTATTTGATGATTGATTGTATGAGGCCTGTAAAACATTATTATAAGGCCTATGGTGTTGGAATCGTAAACTCTTGATAAATGCATTTACTACAATTGTGTAGTCCAACCCCATTACAAAGCAAGTAAATATAATCAGTTTACAAAAAGACTTGCCCATCAAGTCTGCTATTCCATTTGGTACAAGAATGGCTGATGGAATACTTTGCTGTTTACCCACACTGTCTCTGTAACACTTTCTACCATTTGCTAATCAAAAATTTATCAACCCTCTAATTTAAAAGTACTCAAAGACTGAGCTTTCACAGCCCTCTGGGGAAAGAGAATTCCAAATGTTCATCACCCTCCCATTTTAAAAGATTTATCTTTATCTCAATCCTAATTGGCATGCACTTTATTTTTAAATTGTGCCCCCTTGTTCTGGACTCCCAACCAAGGGAAACATCTTACCTACATCTACTCTGTCTATATTGTAGGTTTCTGCTTCACCCCTCATTCTATAAAACTAGAGAATACAAGTCCAATATTTCTTCATAGGACAGTCCTGCATCCTGGAACAATTCTGGTAAACTTTTGTTGCATTCCCTTGATGGCAATTTTATCTTTCCTGAAATAAGGAGACCAAATCTACCCAATATGGTAGATGCAATCTAATCAAGCTCCTATGTAAAAGTTGAAGAAAGGCATCATTATTCACATCCTTTTGCAATTAAAGCCTAACATTGCATTAATCTAAATAGCTTGCTGCACTGCATGTTAGCCTTCAATGACTTATTGACATGGACACAAAATCCCTTTGCACAACTAGACTTTCGAACCTCTCAACATTTCAGAAATACTCTCCACATCTGTTTCTCCAAACAAAGTGGATAACCACATATTTTTGCGTATCCACATTCCATTTGCCACATTCTTGTCCAATCACTAAGCCTGTCTGAATCTTGAAAATATTTTGTATCTTCCTCACAGCACACATTCACGTTTAGCATGAATTTGGATACATTACATTTGGTTCTCACCTCCAGATCATCGATTTATATTATGCACCGTGGGGCCCACGTACAAATCCTCGTGGTTCCCCAGCAGACAAAGTCTACCAATGTAAGAATTACTAATTTGTCCCTACTCTGTTCCTGCCTGTTAGCCAATCCTTAATCCATGCCAGTATACTATCTCCTATACCATGTATTTTAATTGTGCAGGCCAACCTCCTGTGAGGGACTTCATCAAAAGCCTTCTGTGAATCTAAATCTACTAAATCCATCTATGGCTCCTTTTAAAAAGTTTGGTAGTAACATGCTGAAAAAACTTCAGATTTGTCTCACTTGATGTCAATGCAATGCCCAACCATATGATTCTTTTGTCCAGTTGACCATTTATTTTGTGCTTAATGATAATAGAGAAAATGCTAGAATCTGATGTGAGACTAGTCAAACCGTTATTCCCTATTTTCTCCCTTGATCTTCCATAAATAATGGGGTCACATTTTTCAAGCTTCCAATCTGCAGTAATCTTTCCAAAATCTGTGGAATTTTGGAACAGGATTTCTAATGCATTGACTGTCTCTATGGACAACATCCCAGAGTGTTGATGTAAGGGACTTATCATCTTGTAGCCCCATTAATTTATCCAGTACACCCTTGTTACAATACTAGCTTCCTTCAACTCCTCATTCTCTCTAGTCACTTGGATCTCTAATTCTGGGAGTTTTTTTATATCTTACTGTGTGCCTGTGTTCACAGAGTATTAATTTAGCTTTTTTGCCATTTCTTTATTCCCCATTACAAATTTTTCAGACTCAGCTTTTAAGGGACCCACTTTTATCATAACCAAACATTACCTACATGTTAATATTTTTATGGTTTATTTTTTACTAGGTTGCATTCATATTCTATTGATGTTTTGCACCTTTTGAAGGAATGTATGATTGCTGTATGCCATGTAATGGTTCTTTTTGAAGACTGTCCATTGGCTATGTGCAATAATGTATTTTCCAATCCACCTAGTGTTTTCATAATTTTCCTTATTCATATTTAACATCTTTGTTTTGTATGGGGCTACCTCACTTTCAAACATAACATAAAGTTTGATCATATTGTGGTCACTTATCCCTAAAGATTTTTCGCAAGAAGATTATTAATTAGCCCTTTTTTAAAAAAAAAATCACATCCATAATAGCCTGTCCTGTAGTCAGTTCTTCAACATTCTGCTCTAGAAAACTATCTCTAACACATTCCAGAAATACATCCTCTTTTGCTTTACTGCTCAGTTGAGTTATTCAGTCTGTAGATTAAAGATATCCATGATTACTGTGCACATGCTACAAGCTTTTCTCATCTTCTAATTTATATCATGCCCCACACTACTACTGTTTGGTTGCCAATAAGTAATTCAGCCAATGTCAACTACCCTTTGCTGTTTCTTCTACCCAAGGTTTGACACATGATTCTTCTGATCTAAATTTCTCCCTTCCTTACTTGCGTGCTGATGAGTACAACTCCCAACTCCTTCACCAGCTCGTCTATTCTTCCTAAACATAGAATGTCCTGGATTTTTAGCTCCTAGTCCTGGTTACTGTGCAGCCATATTTCTGGAATGATAATTATATCTTGACTGTTACCACTATTTGTGCCTTTTAGATCATGTATCTTGTGAAGGCTGTGCGCATTCAAGTAGAGCGCCTTTTGGTTTTGAAGCTTCTAATTCAGTTCTGGGGTCCTGCAGGAGTCTGTGGCCATCAGAACCTAAAACTAGACTAGGTTTTGATATAGGTCCTCTATTCACTTTAGCCTTTACTTGTATTTTAATACAACGTATGCAAATGGAACTTTTCTAAAGGGAGTATTAAGAGATTGGCTTATTTCTTTACATGTTGAGCGACAAGTTAGAGTTTGACTTCAACCATTGCATATTATACATTTTAAAACTTTTGAATGTAGAATCAGGGATGTGTCTTGCTCGTCTTTTATTTACATGCTCAGATGCTTTTGTCACATATCTTCCAGATTTGTTTCAATGCTTCTACATACCGTGAGACCAGATGTTTTTAGAGCCCAGGAAAATTGTAATACTCTTCACTGGACAAGATTTGAAGTACAATGAGTTGAATCCATGTAATGTGGTATTAAAGTATAATGGTATGAAGAAGCGATTGAATCTCTAAGTCTCTGAATAGAAAGTAAGAGTTAACCTTGTGGTTAGTCAAATTGCTGTAGATGGCCATAGATGTTGGGTGCAATTAAAAAGAATCAAATGTTCTTTTTCAGGTCCATTAATTTCAGAAAAACCAGAAAGATTTGAGCAAACACCCTCAACAAACAAAAGTCGTCAGCAGCTTCAGAGGGAAAGAGTGTTACAGCAGCTGCATAGTCGCAGATCAACAGAGCATAATCAAGTTGATCCAGATCAACAATTGTCCAGACTAAAGATGAGACCACCTGAAACCACAGAGGCATCATCATCCAAGCTAGAGCCAAAGGATGGTCAGAATGAAAGTGAAAAACAAACTGAAACAAAAGTAAGCTGTCAGACGGACACAAATGGACCCAAAGCGTCATCTACATGCCAAGAGTTGTCAACAGAACAGATCAAAGAAGTGGAATTGTTAGTAAGTCTAGAAATAGTTGCAAAAGAATCCTTGGAAATACTGGTAGGTTAGTTAAACTGTCTCGTTAATATCTTTCTGCATAGCATTTTGATGGAAGAGGAGTTAACTGCATCAGAGTAAAACGGTTACAAGTTTAACTTTCTAACTTAGCAGGAGTTACATGATTGTTACATGATTGATGTGTATCTTGATTTGTAGTGACCCGTGGTAGTTCCATGTGCCTCAGTATCTACTCAAAAATTGCAAAAAACTGTTTTTGAAACCTGAATTTTTCTATCTTGAATGTCTTTTTGGAGAAGAATGTATTAAAATTCTATTCCGTTTGCTTTATTCTTGAGCAACCTGGATCTAACATTAATTTTATGCCCCTATTTCTGAATTCTTCCACCAAAAGAAATTCTGTCGCGCTCTGTCTTGCGCTGTCTATTTAACCTATCGTATCTTTAATCATTGCCCCTTCAGCTTCCATTCTTTGTGATTCAAGCCTAAATTCTGCAACCTTTTTCAGAACGTAATCATTTTAGTCCTGTTGGCATTCTACATCTGTGCTGACCCCTCCCCACGCCAAGAGATCCTTCCATGTAAAGAAAGATGCAGATGTGAGAAGGGAAAATTGGAAAAGGCTGGTCCATAGCTCTTGGTCTCTGCCAAGGAGCAGGTCATGCTTCTGAAATCAAGAAGTCCATACAATACTATTCTGAACTAATCAGGATTATACAGATTTTGGACTTGCACTTTAAGACCCTCCTTTGAATAGACAGCAAACTTGGTCCCATTAAAGATTTGATTATACAGTATTTTCTCTTGAAACAATAAAGTAAATTGCACTATGCCTCACTGGCATAGAGCTGGAAATCAAACCCCACGACTCCGAGAGTTGCCATGAATTAAACGTTGTCAAACTATGCAGAGTCACCGATGTATTTATTTTGATTGACTTGAGTTAACAGAAAACACAGGCCAAGTTTCTGTACTTAACAAGGATGACTGTTGATTACAAATAAATAAATTATAAACAAAAACACAACTATGAAGTGTCATACAATATAACTGTCTACTAGTTAAAACTCCAACCCCTTTCTGAATATCACCCCACACACTGACAGTCACAGACAAACAAAATGTAGTTAATGGGTGAAGGAGGAAATGAAGATGCTGAGAAAGCAGTTCACTGGCTCCATGGGACAGAATGCTCCTTCTCTTTCCCAAGCACTCAGCTCTTTTACCTTTTCCATCAAGTTCTTTTACTTCACAGGATTGTTCACAAATTAAAGTCTCTGACTTATTGATTTAAGACCAAGAGTTCACACGCGCACGCACACACACCAAACCTTGCCTTCCCAATGTCTGGGAGTTTCTCACTATATCATTCATACCCACAAGCTGTTCACGTACCCAGGAGCCAATCATAAAGGTTTTCAGCCTGATAACAACTATAATCATTAACTGATTGTAATGCACAAACAAAGCAGCTACTTGTTGGCCAAATCTCACCTTTGTACTCATCCCCTGGTGGCTTATTCACACCCCTACCACCATTACACCACCACCTGCAAAGCTACAGGGCAAATGTGACTTAAAATAAGTTTCAGTAACTTGATTTTAAGTAGTATGGCATCTTCTTCCTGAGTCCATTGTTATAAAAGGCAATTTACCCAATTCCGTCCACAAAGTAAAACAATCAAAAGTAAAATAATCACAGAATCACACGTGTTAATGGTATGGGAGACAGTCATTCTGTCTGTCATGCCTTCACTAACTTGTTAAATGAGCATCATTACCTCATACCAATTTCCGCTTTCTCCCCATACCCTTGCACACTATTTTAGTCTAAATAATCATCCAGTGCGCTCTCAATGCCTCACTAGAGGTATACAATCTTTACAACTTGTACATGATAAACAAACTGGAGAGTAGATGACTTCATCTCACTTATTTCTCTTTCCATCATTCTCTCTCAGCTTTCACTCCACCACTAATTCAGATTAAGAAACTATCAGTAGATGCATGAGGTTTATTTTGACCACCACCATTGGAAGTAGGTGAGGTAATGTTTTTGTCTGTTTACAGAAGAACAATCTACCATTTAAAAACTAAACTGAAGAACTGATTTCATAACTTAATCTGTTATAGTATGCCCCAACAAATAATATTTGTTTTTGGCAAAGTAATAGATCCCCATCATGGAATTTTTGAAATAATTCACCTAAATTTGGGAGGTTTGGCAAATTGATTTCTTCGCCTCCCATGGTGGAAATTGCCACAGCACTCAAAATATAAGCAAAGTTTTCAGAACCGGTTGTTTGATATTGATTGGTCTGAAGCCTCAGTGTGATGGAAGCTCAGTAAAAATATTTTTAATTTTTAGTTTTCAGCTCTATAGTTACGAAGCATAAGCCAGTTAGTGAAAAGTTCAAGAAAAAGATTTGCAATTATAATAAAGTTGAATGAACATTTCTTTTGTATGCTTTCACTTCGCTTTTTAAACACAGATATTCCTGAACAAACAGATGCTTTCGTTATTTTTATGCAGCTGTAAGGTTATTCTTTCTTGACTTGGAACAAAGTTTAATAGGTTCTAGGATAAAGGCACATTGTTAGGATAAGCAGTGGGAGCTTTGCATTTTGAATTTGGATTTATTGATGTACAGTATGATTGGCCAAAGTGGGAATTTTGTTTTTATTTGTTGACATTTTCCACTCCAATCATTTTGCAAACTTTTGCAAAGTAAAGCTGATGGTAGTGCTATTGTATAACACCTTCCCGTCCCCATCTATGATTGAACTCTGCCCTGCTTAATATATAGCCAGTACAGCAAATTCTTAGTTAGCAGCTCTGAGAGAAATGATAGGCATGCAAATCTACTCCTAAATCTATTTAATTCATGTTAATAATTAAACTATTAATATTCAATACCCATTTTCCTGTTTCATTTTGCTTAGTTTGAATTATTATATAATTCCCTTTTGTGTAAAAAGAAAATTGATTGAATCACGAGAAATTGTGGATGATGCCACTCTAATATAATACATTGACACACCAGTCTGCTAATTTGTTCTTCAACTGCTGATAAATCAATCAAAATTATTCAAATTTGGATAAGTAACTAGTTGTTAAAGCAGTGAGAAATCTAATATTTAAATACTGTGAAGTATAAAATAACACAAAATTCTAGATGAGTAATTGATCAATCTTCAGTAAACATAAATGTTGAAAATACTCAAAGTCATTCAACATCTGTAAAGGAAAACAAAGTTAGGTGTCAGAATCATCCTTTGAATTTACTTAGCAATGGTATTTTTACACCTCTTTTTGATCAGTGCATACTCTATTCGACAAGATAATTTCATCAGTGAATTATTGTCGAGTTCAGCTCAAAAAGTAAAATTGAAAAGAAATGTTATAAAGTCAATTTTATTTCTCTGCAGACGCGAGAGATCAAAGCTGGAACAACTGCAACTAGAGCAGCGATTAATGGAAGAGAAGAATAAACGCAAGAAAGCTCTTCTATCAAAGGCCATTGCAGAAAGGTATGGCATAGTCATAGGAGGATAAACTGACCACCTAAATTACCCACAATGCCCACATGTTTTTATATTACTGTATGCGTTCAGAACTAATATTCAAAAGAGTCACTTCTCACTAAATTTCGAGCAATTAAAAAGGTTAGTTGTTTTTTCCAACGTTGTGAGCGTTGTGAGCAGTCTACAAGGTGCACTGCAGAAATTCATTATGGCTTCTTAGACAGTGCCTTTCAAACTCTCAACTATTCATCTAGAAGGGCAAGGTAGCAGATGCATGACAATGCTACCACCTGCAAGTTCCTCTCTAAGCTACTCCCCATCCTGACTTGGAAATATATTGCCATTCCTTCAGGTTGCTGGGTCAAAATCATGTAACGGTGTTGTGGGTCTACCTATTCCAAATGGACTGCAAAAGGTAGCTCACCACCTAGAGATGATCAATAAATGCTGGCTGAGCCAACAATCCCCACATTTCATGAATGAGTGTTTGTTTTTCTTATAAAATTGTGATATAAATTTGGATAAATTAGAGCACAGTACTTTGCCAAAGATTCCAGGTTGACAAAAAAAACTCATGCAGTATTCATCAATGTCATTTGCAAAATCTGAGTCAGCCATTAAACCTACCAGTTCTTGCTGTTAAAACTGCAACGAGCAATGTCCGCTTTTACAAGTTGTGGAAGAGTGGTCAACCGTGCACAAACATCAGAGAAGGAACCGTTGTCTACCCAAGAGATGGGGGAGATCATTAAGAGTATATGCATACACATAACAATCAATAACTACATTTTTCACTTATGTTTTTAAGACTGTTAAATTTAATTGTTTTTTAGTACGTTATGACAAGTTGTTAGTGGCTATATGTCTGCAATTTTGATCCATTATACTGATCATTCTAGATCAAAGCGAACCATGGAAGAAACTGTGAAACTGAAGCAAATCCAAAAGGAACTTCAGACCTTGGATGACTTGTTATCGAATGATGTTAACATCTTACGGGATCGGATTGAAAAGACCAGCTTGGAATATTATCAGGCTAAGTAAGAACATAAATACATACTGGGTAGTATGGAACTCCACTTTTAGTCTCCTTTTGAGCAATGTTTAAGCTTTTCATCTTGCTGTCATCAGAACCAATGCAAGAGCCATCATTTATCCAGAGCGGGAAGAGGGTGCTGATTGGTTGGGCCATAATTGATATGGAGGTGCAGAAAGAACAGTTAACACACCAGGCAGGTAGCATTAAAGATTCTGTGAAGCAGAATGTCATGGTTTTGGAATTAATCTGATCATGGAACCATGTTTTAAAAGTTACCATTTATCTTCAGAGGACTTCTGCGCTGGAGATTCCTGGCCAGGGGCCTCCTTGTTAAGAGTCTGTTCAGGAGTACACAAATCAAGCATGAGGATAATCTTTGTAGAAACTACACACACACTTTTTTTTTTTTTTTTGCAGCACTAAGTGTGCCATGTTCATGATTTTAAATATTCAGCAGCATAGCCAATAACTTTGACAGCTGAAATGTGGGTGTGACATGCCAGGTGGTTAGAGGGGTGAGGCATATAAAGTGGGCAAGGGGTGTGCGGCTCGTTGAGTCTGATGTGATTGGGTCTGAGGACGGGTACAGTTTGGTAGTCAGTTTAATAGTTGCCCAGCAATTAGTAGGTTTTTCTTTAGTGTGTAACTGTTCTTGGGTAACTACTAAGCTTAACTGAGTCAGGCCATCATTTTTATTCAATCATAATGTACTCCAAGGTTTCTAGTTGTAGGCGCATTGTCTGGGTGTGGACTCTGACAGAATTAAATGATCATTTTCATAGCTGAAGTTAATGTTATCACATCAGTTTTGTACCAAGTGAAGCCTGAATTTAACTATATCACCTAAAACCATTATTAAAAAGTTATGAAAAATTTGTACCTTATTTAATTGAAGGAAAGAATTGGCATAATCAAATTATTGTTTAAGAAAATGGGGACTAAAATAGACTATGAAATGAAGGATGGAAGTTGCAAGTTGAAGTTTTCCAGTTCCAGGACAAGGTAGAAAGCCCTTGGACAATCCCTGTGAGGGACGGAGTTGTGGATGCCCAGGTGAAACAGTTTATTAGAGCCAGGGAAGTGGAAATTCTTAAAACAGCAAAAGATTTGGGAAGACTCCGGACATGGGGTGGACAAAGATGAGATAAGCGAGTTCTGTGCGGCAAGAACATGCATAATCAATGGATCCCTCGGGGACAGTCCTCTTAATGAAATCTTAGTGGAAGGTAGAAGTGAACTTTACAGGATTAAGAAAGCACAAGATTAAAGACTGAAAAGAAGATTTACAAAGATGATTGGGTCACTGACAGTCTTCAAACCAACTAGGCTTGATTAAAAACTGAAAAAACTGCGGATGCTGTAAATCAGAAACAGACATTTCTGGAAAAGCTCAGCAGGTCTGGTAGCATCTGTGGAGAGAAATCAGAGTTAAGGTTTTGGGTCGAGTGACCTTCCTCAGAACGCGGCAAAACATTAACTCTGATTTCACTGCACAGATGCTGCCAGGCCTGCTGAGCTTTTCCAGAAATGTCTGTTTTTTGTTTCAACTAGGCTTGATGTTCAATGGTGGGACAAAGTTCAGAGAGGAATTGTCAGTTTTTCTGTCTCTGATAGAAGAAAGATTTGCCACCTTTTTTAGCAAGTTAAGTTATCAAGTTAAAGTTGAACATGAGAGAAGGGTGTTGCAAATTCAGACGACATTGGGTTTGATTGAAGGGGCGCAGAGGAGCACAGGGACAGGATTAGGCTACTGAGCCCATTAAGCCTGCCCCACCATTCAATACAATTGTGACTGATCAACCACTTTTTCCAACTGATCCCAGTAACTCTGTACACCACCGGTAATTAGAAATCTATTTATCTCTATCTTAAACATAGTCAAGGACTGAGTTTCCACAGCCCTCTCAGGTAGAGTATTTCAAAGATTCAGAGCCCTCTGAGTTTAAAAAGAAACTTCATCTTGAATATAACTGACATTCCCTTTTTAAATTGTGCCCTTGGTTCTAGACTCCCTAATCAGGGAACCCTGTATCCTGTGTATACCTTTAAGTATTTGTAGGCCTGCATGGGATTACTTCTTATTGTTCAAAGAAGATTTACAGTACTGTCAACCTGGTTACTAATGCAATCTTCTGTGACCTAAAACCAGCTGTAGATTATTAACAAATAAAGTTGAACCTTCAAACTTTAAAAAAAAATTAATGCTGGACTGCAATGTCTACATGAAAAGATGATTGTCACTTTTGCATGTTTGTAATCATTTATTTCTCACACTTTATGGCTTATGCAGCAGACAAGGCATTAACTTACATCTGTTTCCATTCTTGGGGTTTTTCTGCAGGAGGTTACTATTCTGTTAATAGAAACTACAGCTCAATAGGTGCCAGTTTGCATCAGGCATGGCTGCCAAGGAAACTCTTCCACTTTTACTGGTTGCTGTAGGCATAGCGGAGGCTTTTATAGTTGATGTTATCCCAGTTTGCCCAAGTTATAAGTGCACCTTTTGTGGCCATCACATCATGGAGTGAGACTTGAGCCAAAAGCTTCTGACTCGGGGGCAGAGATGCTACCCATTGCACCATAATACCCAGGGATCTTTCTGCTCTGTACCACACAAATTGGGAATTAGAACAAAGAGCATACCTTACGTCATTAAAGCAGATGGTCAAAGTGATATGTTCTCAAACTAGTTATGGTGGCAGCAGACCCACCAATTCAGGCCTACTGGATTGATTTAAGTGGTATTTCAAATTTAGAAGATTGGTGACTCTCATTTATTTCAGAATACTTTTTTTTGATGGAAATTGGAACAGTTTTTTTCATTTTGGCAATGTGAATAGAGAAGCTTAATTAAAAGCACAGGCTTAAAACTTGTAGGAAATACAATACAATGTCCTTGGCCTCAATTTATCACATTTGTATATACAAGAGATTAGAATAAATTATGTACCAAATATCTTGGGCTGTGCTATGATCTCTGGAGAGATTGATAACTCGAAGTTCAAATTTCTTGTTAAAAGTTAACAGCTGTAAGAATGACAAGTAAATTTTAAACTTTTACTGTAACAAAATAACTGAAATGCTAATGACTAGACACTATTTTCTCTTCACATGTAACTTATTTTAAGATACAGAAAAGATATTTCCCATTTAACTTCCCTCAAAATCTTCCACTCAGTTGTATGTTACACTTCCCTCTTAAATGGAAACTTAATCCTCCAAGAACTACTGTAAAATCATTCTTGGCTACCATTGACTTGCTTTGCTTTTACTAACCCAGGCGGATGATATCGAATATAAGAACTGCCTTTCAAGGAGGTTATCTTCTAGATCCCTTCTTCTAACTCCAAACTAGGCAAAAATTGCAGTTGAAATTATCATAAATTTGATGTTCAATCTAAGCATGCTTACCCACCAATGTTCTGTGTGATAAACAAAGAATTAGCAGTTTTGCTTAGATGTGCGCCTTGTCTCTTGCTCTCCACATCCCGGTTGGCTGATAGCCACAAATGACAAAATTGCTTTGTGTGATATCGATATGTTTATGGGGAAACCTGAAAACTGATCTTAAAATGCCTTTGTCCATGATAAGAGGGAACACAGTGGCTTGGTACCTAAGTAGAAAAGCTCATTTGTGATTCTTCTTTTCATTTGAGAAGTAAAATATAGTTTATAGCAACTTTGTTTGCAAATTGCAACCTATAACACGTTTCTGGAACTCGGGAGACACAGGACCAATTCATCGTTTCCTCAGGAACTACTTATTGTCTCCAAGCATAAATGCTTTCTTCTGCCTCAATCCAAGTGTATTATCAGGCAGACTTCAGAACAGATCATATGACTCTTTCTTCACTCTAAAGCTGTAGTCTTAAAAGAGAATTTAATAAACTTGGTAATTCTATGTTTCCCTTTGTAAAATAGGATTCAGACTTAAGTCCATATTGCCTGTAGTGAATCATGCCAAATCATTTTTAAATTTAGAAAGTTGTTTGTTTGAATAGATTTTAGAATTCAAAGCTTGCATCAGTTAAAACATGTTGTTTTTCAAATACCTAATTTTTTCCACCTCATTTTTTCGTAAGGCTTATAGCAGATTTAGACCATTCAGCCCATCAGATGTTATAGACATGGATGATCTGATAATATTCAACTCCACATTCCTGCCATTTCCCTATAACCCTCGATTCCGTTGCTGATTAAAAATCTGTCTATCTCAACCTTCCAGATATTCAATGACCCAGTACTGACAGCCCACTCTGGTACAGAATTCCACAGGTCACTGTCCTCAGAAGAAAATCCTCCTCATCTGTCTTAAATATGCGACCCCTCTATTCTGAGACTATGCCCTCTGGTCCTAGACACTCTCACTAAAGGAAACAACCTTTCTATATTTACACTGTCAAGCCCCTCACCCCACCCCCCAAAAAAAACATCTTGTATGTTTCAATAATGTCACATCTCATTCTTCTCAAGTACAGACCCAAATACCTAAACCTCTCCTCATATGACAGTCCTCCTCCCCCATATCTGGTATCAGCCTTGTGAATCTTCTTTGTACTACCTTTAATACCAGTATATCTTATCTTAGATAAGGGGATCAGAACTGTTAACAATATTCCACCTGTGGTCTGATTACTACCTTGTATGCTCTTTTTTAAAAGCCTCCCTATTTTTGTATTCCCTTTGAAATAAAGGCCAGCGTTCCATTTGCCTTCCCTATTACCTGCTGAACTTGGATGTTTGCTTTTTGTGATTCATGGATGAGGTTACCCAAAACCCTTTCTTCATTTAAGTAATATTCTGTTCCCCTATTCTCTGTGCCAAAGTACATCATCTCAGATTTTCTTGCATTATCTACCAATTTTTTCCCTGCTCACTTAACCTGTCTGTATCACTCTGCAGACTGCCTTCTTCATCACTTGCCTTCCCACCTACATTTGTATCATCTGCAAACTTGGCTGTTCACTTTTTCTTCACCCAAGTCACTAATATATTGCATATAATTGTTGCTCCAGCCCTGATCCCTGTGGTACTCCATAGTTACAGGTTCCCATCATGGAAGTGACCTCGTTATCCTAACTCTGTCTTGAATTAGACAACACAGTGTGGAGCTGGAGGAACACAGCAGGCCAGGCAGCATCTGAGGAGGGACCCTTCTTCAGAGATGCTCCTCTAATGTTGGCTGGCCTGCTGTGTTCCTCCAGTTCCACAGTGTTGTCTCTGACTCCATCATTGGCAGTTCTAACTATCTCTGTCTTGTATTAGTTAGCCAATCCTCCATCCCTGCTAATAGACCACCTCCAATGTTATGGGCTCTTGCCTTTATTAAGTAGCCTAATAGAGTCAAAGCACAAAAACAGATTCTTCGGTTCAACGTGTCCATGCTGACCACGTTTCCCAACCTAAACTAGCCTGCGTTTGGCCCAAATTCCCCTAAACCTTTCCTATTCATGTCCCGTTCCAAATATCTTTTAAATGTGTGGTGCTATATCAAATGCCTACTGAAAATCCAAGTATGTTACATTCAGAGTGTCCCCTTCACCTTTCCTGCTTGTTATCTTCTCAAAGAATTCTAGTAATTTTGTCATGTGTGACTGCCTCTTCATGGAGCCATGCTGACTTTGCTTGATCACTTTTGTGTATTTCTAAATGTTCTACTATTACATCCTCTATAACATACTCTAGCATTTTCCCAATAACAGACATTAAACTAACTGACCTATAGTTACCTGTTTCTTGTCTCTTCCCATTTTTAAATTAAGGTATAATATTGGCAGTTTTTCAAACCTTTGGGACTTTCCAGAATCTGAGGATTCTTAGAATGTTACTACCAGTGCATCCACTACCTTTGTACCTTTTTCATACCCATTAACCTGTATTTGTGCTGTTAGTTCATCTGTTTTTATTTTCCAAATGCTATGCACATGCAAGTAAAGAGGCATTAATTTTGCCTTTTTACCATTTTCTCTCCTTTGACTCTATTTACTGTTGTCCTTCTGTTTATCTACTTTGTCCTTTCTTGTCACACTTCTGGTATGATTAACCAAATAACTGTCCAATAATTTTGCCATATCCTCTTGCTTTGTAAGTCTATATTTTCCCTCTTTCTTCTCTCCTCTTTAAAGCCATCTCTACAGCCCTAGTTATTCAGTTTGCCAGGACACTGCTACCAGCATGGCTCAAGGGAAGCCTGTCTCATCAGAACTGTCTCTTTCTGCCCATGTACTGGTGCCGCTACCCCAGAACTGAAACCCATTCCACCCACGCCAATCTTTGAACCACACATTTAACTTCTTGACTTTATTTACCCTATGCTAGGTTGTCCATGACTGACGTAGCAATCCAGAAATTATTGGTACCAACGTGAGCAATGACTTCTGGATCCCTGACCTCCCTCTCCTAAGTTCTTCTCCAGCTCCAATCTCTGGCACCTGGCAGGCAACACAGCATTCAGAACTACAGTTCACGGCTGCAGAGAACATTATCCCACTAATTATACTGTTGCCCACTGCTACGACATTCCTACGTCATCCATTCACTTGAATAGTTCCCTGTAGCAAGAGAGCCCCTCTGTCTCCCTTTTGTACTGAATTTTCACTTCGAACCACATTTCAAACAGTATAGTTGGAGTACTCGTTCAACCTTTGTCTCACTCTGCTATAGTCTCACACTAACTCTGCTCCTCACTGACTTGCTGGACAGTTCCTTCAAAACTAGGTACTTCCCCTCCTGGTATAGCAGAGAGAAAGTTGAACATTGTTACACCACCTAAAGGGGTGGAGGAGTGAAATTACTGAGACAAAAAATAAATTGTAAGTCAGCAGACCACTGTTGTGCATCTGCTGTTAGTTGACAGTGACACACTAAGTTGCATTTTGGTGTGCCCTGAGGAGCAAAAACAGAAAGGGGCCCTTGCAAAGAAAGGTTGTTCAGAACTGTGTTGTGTATATTGCTTAGTAATGATTTTAATGGCTTGTAATGATATTTGCACACTATTGGTCTGAACAATGAACAAAATTCTTCTTGCTCATTGTATGTCCTGTCCTTGCCCTCAGAAAGAGGTATGATAAGGCAGAAGTGGAATATGTTGCAGCAAAACTAGATCTGTACAAGAAGAATGAATTGAAGGAGCAACTGACTGAGCATCTGTGCACCATAATTCAGCAGAATGAGTTACGCAAGGCCAATAAACTGGAGGAGCTGATGCAGCAATTGGAAATAGAGACCGATGAGGAGCGGCTGGCACTGGAGATTGAAGTGGACAGTTTACTAAAGCAACAGGAAATGTTCCAGGGGACTGATCAAGTTAATTCAAGTGATGAGTCAGCACAGCAAGCTGTTCAAGCAGATCATCTGAATCATATGGTTAAGCAGGTTGAAGGAAAACAGATCTCTGGTGAAGAAGTTTCAAAGGACCAAAATAAATCTCAGTCAGAGAACTTGTACAATAGAATATCAGAGAAGATTGTGAATTGAGTTTGTATATTTGTGCTTCAAAAATGGATTTGGGTGAGATTGATTTTGGTTTTCATGATATAAAATCATTTATCTGTTGGTAAGCTTAATCAGCACCACCAATTATTTAAAAAAATACAAGCATTTGAGACTTTTGTATTTTTCTTCTGGAGTTTTTTTATTCATTCACTGGCTTGACCAGCAATTATTACCTATCCCTAATTAACCTTGAGAAGGTGTGGTGAGCTGCCATCTTGAAGAGCTGCAGCCCATCTGTAGGTACACCGACAGTGCTATCAGCAAGGGAGTTTCAGGATTTTGACCCGACAATGGTGAAGGAATGGTGATGTCGTTCCATATCAGGAAGGCATATGACTTGTAGAGAAAATTGCAGATGGTGTTCCCACAAATCTGTTGCCCTTGTCCCTCTAGGTGGTACAGTTCACAAATTTGGAACATCCTGTCAGAGGAATTTTGCTGAATTGTTGCAGTGCATTTTGTAGATGGTATACACTACTGCCACTGTGCATTACGGTAGATGGAGTGAATGTTAAGTGTTAGATGGTGTGTTAATTAAGCAGGCTATTGAGCTCCTTGAACACTGTTGGACCTGTGCTCATCCAGGCCAATGGCTAGTATTCCATCCCACCCTTGATTTGTGCCATGTAGGTGGTGGACATATTTTGAGGAAACAGAAGCTGAGTTACTCACTGCAGAATTCCTGGCCCCCATACTGGTCTTGTGACTACTGTATTTATAATGCTAGTCCAGTTTAGCTTCTGTTTGGTCAATCATCTCTGCCCCAATAACCAAAAACTGAACTGAACCAGTTTGGTTGAAATGATTGACCTTGGATAATTAAAGCTACTTTCCTTTGTACGAGGTATGAGTGTATCCATTGAAGAGTTTCCTTTGATTCCCATTGACTTCGGTTTTCCTACGGTTCCTTAATGCTACATTCAATTAAGTGATGTTTTGATGTCCAGGAAAGTCACCCTCAGTTCCCTTTGAGTTCAGCTGTTTTGTCCATATTTGGACCAAGGTGTAATGAGGTGAGGAGCAGAGTGGACTTGGCAGAACACAGCCTGCCCACTGATGTTCCGTTCATGTTGAGTAAGTGCCACTTGATAACACTGTTGATGATGCCTTCCATGATTTTCATGATTGTGAATAGACTTGGTAGAGTGCTAATTGGCTAGGTTGTATTTGTTCTGTTTTTTGAATGGGAAATGACCTGGGCAATTTGCCAGATTACTGGTTAATTTTAATTTTCATAACTATTCTAGAATAGCTTGATGAGGAGCGTGGCATTTTCTAGATCACAAGTCTTCCCTACTATTGCCCGAATATTGTCAGAGTCCAGAGCATTTGCACTAACTGGTGTCTTCACCCATTTCTTGTATCACATAGAGGGAATTGGATTGGCTGACGGCTAACATCTGTGATACTTAGGGACGTCAAGAGGAGGCCAACATAGATCATCCACTTGGCATTTCTGACTGACAATTGTTGCATATGCTTCAGCATGGTCTCTTGCTGTGATTTGCTGAACCATCATTAAGGGTATTTCTGGAGCCTCCAAGTGAGATATTTAATTGTCTGCTGTTATGCATGACTGGATGTGTTAGGACTGCAGAACTTGGATCTAATCCATAGTTTATAGGGTCCTTAACCCTGCTGGGTATCCTCTGCTGTTTGCTTCATCTCATTATTAGGTACATCTGATGATCCTGAAATGCTCTGCTGCAATCTTCTTTGAACCAGGGTAGATCCCATGACTTATTGATAATGATAAAGTGGACAATATGCTGGGTGGAGGTTACAGATTGTGGTGGAATACAGTTCAGCTGTCGGCCCACAATGCCTCGAGTACCAAGTCTAGAATGGTTAGAACTGTTCTAAATCTATCTCATTCACCATATTATTAGTGCCACACAACAGAGGAGTATCCTCACTGTGAAGGCAGGACTTTGTTCCCACAAAGACTTGTGTGGCGGCCACTCCTACAGATGGTTGGGACAGGAGATGACCACAGTTGGTGCTGGTCGTGTCTGAGACATTATCTTCAAGGTTTGATTCTGTTAGGTTGTTGCTTGGCTAGTCTCAGCTCTCCCAATATTGGCACAAGTTCCTAGACGTTAGTGAGAAGGATGTTGCAAGGTTGATATGACTGCATGCCATTGTCATTTTTGGTGCCTTAGTTGATCCCCAACTAATCTGTTGGTTTTATTTCTTTTATCTGTTTCTAGTGGATTAATACACAGTGGTTACTAGCAGTTGAAAGTCACTTCATTGCTATGATTCTGAAGTCATGTACTACAGTTGAGGTGAGGATAGTAGATTGTCCTTACCTAAAGGACATTGAATGATTGGATTTGTATGACAATCGATAGTGGTTTCATGATCGTTGTTAGGCTGGCTTTTAGTTCCATATTTATTAATTGAATTCACATTTTCACCATAATGTCTCCAAAACATTAGCATGGGTCTCCGAATTAGTACTCCAGCAACAAGACCATGGCACCATCTCAACCCTTGACAAAATTTAGGTTGACTGATAGCCAGATCACAATATAATTGAGGTATTTTGGACCTGATGATTTAAACTTTTCACTTGAGGCACTTTTAAGTGTTCCCACACTTAATTGATTCTTCTATCACACTAATTTTCTTTAAATTATAATTTGTGCAATATAGTTTGTTTCCCCATGATGTCTAAAATTTGATCAGTCAAAAAGTTGAAGCTGATCGAAGATGCCCGTGAGAACATCTAATTTTGGGCAAATGTTTTTTTATAGATACTTGGCTAAACAATATCACTGGCATTTTGTTTGATTATTAGACTGATTGTTATCTATGATTACCTTTGTATTTTTGTTTGAATTTTTTTGTAGTTTTAAAATATAAACTTTTTCATGGGACCATGTGGCTTAAGTGTTTAAAGATGAAATGGTTTATCTTTGTGTAGTTCTGAATTTATTTTTCAGTCTCTTTTATTTTTCTGTTTTTTTGGCATTTGTTAGCATGGCAGCAGTCAAAACCTGCTGCAATAGTTGCTTCTAAATTAAAGCAAAATACCAAGGATGCTGGAAGTCCGAAACAAACACAGAAAATGCTGGAGAAATCAGCATGTCTGGCAGCATCTGTGGAGAGAGAAATGGAGTTGACATTTCAAGTCTAATGTGACCACTTCTTAAAGTCCTGTTGGACTTGAAATGTTAACTGTTTGTTCACTACAAATGTTGCCTGCTGAGGTTCTCCAGCTTTTTCTGTTTGTACCAATATACCAACTTGGCCTTGATTTGAACTGTAAATTTTTATAATAAAGTTTATAAAGGTCGGGTATTATATAAGCAGTGTACTATAACCAACTCCAAATGGAGCTAAGTAAAATGGATGGTTAAAAATCAGTTAAAACAGAAATCAGACATGCAAATAATGTAATTTAGGTTCACAGAAGTGCAAAAAGATTGTGTCCTTAGAGTTTAATAACATCCTTTTGTTAACAGTATTTTTAGATCATTAAGTCCATTGCTGTATTCTTAACGGTAACACATTGAACAAAAATGTTGTCATATTTGGTTTGACTGACTGCACCAACATGGAGTAACTTGGATTTTGTTCATCCAACCCTATCTTCTTGTTTGTTTCCATTGATATAAGTGGATATTAACACTAATATTGATTATAGAATGTATACATGATGGATTTACAATAGATTTCAGCTCACTTTGTTAATTCTTGGCTTTTTAAATCTGTATTTTTGTATATGCTTCATCGATTCATTGATTCAAAATTGACACATCTAAATGTACTTTGTAAAATTAAATCCAAAGAGATTATTGTGGTTATTGGATTCTTTCATTCTAAAATGTATTATATTTTGGGAGTCTCAAACATAATATTAACTTTCTTGCCAAACGTCCATCCTCCACCTCCATAATTTTCTTCCTTCCTCAGAAGAAAATTACCTTGCTTAGAATATGGTCCTACCAGTGCAAGCAGTCTCTTGATATTGTCAGAGTCCACATCATGTTAACTGGTTACTAATGCATGCCCTCCTGAACCTGGTCTTCTCAAATGGCCATGCATAGGTACGTTTTCCAGTGAAGTCAGTGTTTGATCAGGAGCAGCACCCTAATTGGTTCTTCCCATTTCCAGTTACCAGTTGCCAAGAGAAGCTTAAAGTCTATTGTATTGTCCCTGTACAATCAAATTATGCTTTCAGTTTTGGAGAAATTAATCTGTAATGTATGTTTTATTTTAAAAACATACAAGTGGGATGCAATTAGAAATTGGATCAGAAAATGTGATCTGAAGATATGAGGTAGTTCTATTTTTTTAAAAAAAAGTCAATATCATGTTGTGTTGAATTAAAAATCAACACGTATTATATCAGTAATTTTTTAAATGGTTCTGTTTAAGAGCCTATTCTCAGTCCTGTAAAATTTAAATAAAATATCCTGCACGGGTGAACGTAGTAAGCCAAGGCCAGATAAACTACAAGGAAGCTCATTTGGTCCAGTCATGACTCAGAAGTAATGGTAATCAGATAGCCGGGCTAACAGAAGGTATGAATGGTCTTGAGTGGAAAAATCAACATCCTTCCAAATATATAGTGCTGCATTGTGTGAACATATGCAATAGGAGCAGAAGTAGACCACCATTCAATGAAATCACACCTGAGCTGCTGTTCTGTATTCTACCTTCTGATCTATCGCGAGAAGCCTTAATTCCCTTGCCGGCAAGAATCCATCCATTTTTCTCAAAAGTATTCAATGGCTGTGCCTTCTGCCATAAATGAATAAAGTGGCACAAATTGTGGTAGGGAAAAAGAATTCTGTGCTGAAAGGTTTTCTGATTTATGCAAGAAACAACATTTTCATTTTTATCTTGTTAAGAGAGTTCAGGATCTTGTACCTTTTCAGTGCAATCACTCCTCACTATTCTAAATTTTGGTGGAAACAAAGTCAGGTTTTCCAACCTAATCTCCAAAGACAAACCATTAATTTCATGTATCAATCTCGTACTAAACCTCCTCTGAACTGTCACCAATATATTTATGTCTTCCTGCAAATAAAGAGACCAAAATTTTGCACAGTTTGAGATCTGTGGGGTGTATCAGATGTAGTTTCTTCTAATAGAATTAGCCATATCTTAGTTCATAGCTAGATGAATAATTACTTTGTCCTTGACAGTCTCCAATGCTACTTGAGTAAGGTAGTGGCCACACACCAGAAATTGTTGGTTAAGCAGGCAAAACCAAGTGAGATAGCACCCAAAACACGTATGAGTGAGAGTGCTGATTTCCAACCACCATTTATTAAGTGTATTAAAAAACTAACTTGAAAGCTGTAGTTGCGTCACCGCTGCATGGACAGCTGTAAAGTTAATTGGCATAAATGCTGAAGGTACTGCAGTTAACCACATCTCCATCAATTTGACATGCCAAACCACTGGAAGCACATGTGCAAGACTGGGCTTCGAGCTCATTAAGTGCATTCCATCTGCATGCTAGGTCCTTGTGTGCATACCTTGCTGACTCCTTCCACACATTCTGTTGTGTTCTGAAAAGAATATGCATTCCTGTACTTGTTGTCTACGCGTTCTGATATATTGTAGGTCAAACAAAAAGAAAAAACTGGAATTTTTCTTAGCTTCTTGAAAGGTGCGAGCTCTTATTGATAATATAACAGCTCTGATTGTCAGTGAAGAATCACCATTCAATATTAACATTACTGCTTCAAGTGAAATCCACCTAGCAAAGGAGGGCCAGCTAACAGCAGGCTATACATTCTTCTGGATAGGTTAGTCTAAGAGCATGAGGTGAGAGGCAGGTGTAAAGTTTTGTAATCAAGTCTGACTGTAAAAAGAGTCTAGTTACTGTCGATAGGGCCATAAACAATCACCTTGTGATTATGCACATATCAATTGTGAACAGCAAGTAGGTGAAAAGCATTAGTCCATATGCTCCATCACCGATTCGTCCTGAAGATGTCAAAGTAAAATTCTGAGGACCTAGATGGAGCTATTGCAACTATTTCAATGGTAGATTAACTTGTATTGAAGGGACTTTAGTGCAAGGGTTGATTATCAGGCTTGGGATGATGTCCTAGGCAAACAATATGCAACAAAATCCAAGCATTGCATGCTTCTGAGTCTTTGCATCTGCTGGACTATGACAATCACATTCAGAAAGAAAGCAAGGTGAAAAACACCAGGATGCACTCAAGATGTAAACACTGTCTTTGACTAAGGTTGACTTTACTGTCACCTGGCATGCAACATAAAAGGTGTTATGATTGCTAGAGTTATATGAGCAGTCAAGTGCTTTAAAGCCCATCAAATGCTATGTTCCAAGGTAAAACTTACTATTTCGTGGAAATGGGGACTTACAGTTAATGTTTTTTTGGGCTAGAGAAAGGTTTTGAATGGGGTTCTTCAGGGAGTGGTATTGAGACCATTACTTTTGCTGATATATATTAGGGATTAGACTGTGGTGTACAAAAAGAAATATCAAAATTTGCGGACAATACAAACTTGGGAGCATTGTAGACTGAGGAGTACAGTATAGAACTCAAAAGAACGTTAACGTTTCGGTGGGGGAGGCAGATGAATTTCAATGCAGAGAGGTGTTAACTGATGTATTTTGGTAGAAAAAGAAATTGCAAAACTGTTGAAAATAAAGAGTGCCGCTCAAAAGAATGTTGAGGGGGAAGACACCTGGGTGTACGTTTGCACAGATTATTGAAAGTGTCAGGACAGGTGGAGAAAGCAGTTAATAAAGCATGCAGTATCCTAGACTTTAATAAGGGCATTGAGCACATCAGCAAAGAAGTTATGCTATGTGTGTATAAGACATTAGTTAGACCTTAACTGGATGAATGTATTCAGTGCTGAGTGCCAACATTTCAGGAAAGATGTAAATACATTGTAGATAGTGTAGAAGACACCTACGAGAATGGTTCGAGGGTTGAATCACTTCAATTATGAACATAAATTGGAGCTCTTTGCCTTGGAGAAAACAAGGATAAGAAGAGATTTGATAGAAATTTTCAAAGTCATGAGAGGAGAAACTGTTTCCACTCATTAAAGGATCAAGAATGAGGGGGCACAGGTTTAAATTAATTTTCAAGAGAATTTAATACCATGTCAGAAGAAACTTATTCACAGAAGTGTATAGTTAGGGTCTGGAATGCATTGAGTAAAAATGTAGTTGGCACAGGTTCAATTCAGACATTTATGAGATGATTATTTGAATAGTAATAATGTGCAGAATTATAGGGGATAGATAGGAGAATGGCACTAAGTCATAACGTTTATTCAAAGAGCTGGTGTATTGGATCTCAAGAGAGCTAGATGTGCTGAAACTGCATTGACAAGAACTGCAAACATATCAGGCTCAAAGCTGAGGTATGTTTTCCTCTGAAGTAAACCTACATGATGAAGTTGGAGTGGCATGGTCAATCCCCAAAACAATAGTTGTGGAAGCTGCCAATCATGTCCTGGAATCACAGAGAAGAAACCACTGAGATTGTTTTGATGAAAATGATGACCACGAGCAACTGTTACAGCACAAAAACGCAGTATGGCTGAGAAGCAAAGATACACGTACTACTAAGAAATCACTCCAGGAGAACAAAAAAGGAATCTGTAATTAAAACTGCATTGAATGAAATGCATAGTGGGTCAAACAATCAGAGAATCTTGAGTCTATGCTGAATAACAAAACATGAGTAATTTTGATTGAGTCCTGCACACTGTACTTTTCCCTCCTCAAGTAACTACTTGCCTGTTTTTAAAGCTGACAGAAACATTGGAAATAGGATCAAGATCAAACTAGGATTAGGGTTCAAGGACTACCTGAAGGTGAATCTCAGGAAATGTGGCTGTCCACCACAGACTGGGTAAGCTTTTTTCTTTCATTCATTCATGGGATGCAGTCTTTGCTGGCTAGAACAGCATTTATTGCCCATCCCCAGTTGCCCTTGAGAAGATGGTAATGAGCTATCTTACTGAACTGCTGCAGTCCATTTTGAGTAGGTAGACCTACAATGTTCTTGAGAAGGATTTCCACCCAGCAACAGTGAAGGAACACCAATATATTTTCAAGTCAAGATGGTAAATGGCTTGGAGATGCAATTGCAGGTCATGGTGTTCAAATGTCTCTGGTCCCCTTGTCCACCTGGGTTGTAGTGGTTGCAGGTTTCAAAGGTAATGATCTAAGGAGTCTCGGTGAGTTTTTGCAGTGTATTTAGTAGATGGCATACTCTGATGTGTGTTTCACTGGTGGGGGGAGTGAATATTTTTGGCAGAGATGCCAATTAAGTGGGATTTTTGTCCTGAATGGTAGCAGACATTAGAAAGAGCGACATATGGATGAATAAATTTATGAAATGTACATTGGCAGCCTTGTATGAGTAGGTTCAGTGGCAGAGGGTGAAGCCTTGAATTGGAGCAGCAGATAAAGAACAAAGATAGGCTCTCTTTCAGTCATATCATTTTTATTTTGAAGTTATTCAAAATGGTGCCAGAGTGTGGCGACAGTTGAAGCTTTTCACTGTATTTTCCCTTAAATACATGTGATAATAAATAATTCAATCAAAAATAACAATCACTGCAACCAAATTGCAAAACTGAAACATATAGCCAATCAAAGATACTAAGAACTGCTGATTCTGGAGTGAGAGATAACAGTGTGGAGCTGGAGGAGCACAGCAGGCCAGGTAGCATCAGAGGGGCAGGAAAGTTGATGTTTCGGATCAGGACCCTTCTTCAGAAGTCTTGTGTCTTAGACCCTTCGGAAGAAGGGTCCCAACCCAAAATGTCAACTTTCCTGCTC